CCCGCACATTATATATATATATATATATACATACATACATGTAATAATGTTTGTGTGAAGAAAATATTATGTGTGCAATATCATACTCCCGGCCAACATATGTCCGGATAGTCAAGATTTGCTTGAGTTTGTTGTAGCTATATGAAGAATCAATTTCCTGTCAAAAAAATGCGATGACTATTATATATTTTTTTTTCCAAAAAGTCAGACCACTGATTTTTAGTTCTCACCGCACTTAGTCAGATCAAATTACAAAAAGTACCGCATACAACATGAAGAATTGCCAAGGACAAAAAAGTGTCGTGCGGCACTGCATCGCCACCACAACGCTGTCCCAAACACATCCTTAATCACAAAAGACAACACAAGAGCAAGTTTTCATGTGCATGACAGTGTGGTCTCCCATGATTTAGTGTTTGAACATGCGGCTAGTCACATGTAATATTTTCTTGATCATCTAACTCTTTGTAAGAGATCATTTTAGTTCCCACGTCTATTAAAATATCAATTTAATCCTAATTTTTTTAATATAACCTTTATTTTAAAAAAAAAAATGGGGATTTATATGACAGTCTAATAGACTACATGGAATTACAATGATCCCATGTAAATAGTTATGGGACTATTTTGATACTTTACTCTACATCTTAACCTTTTTCAAATAACAAGTTCATTTATCTATATATGATGTGCTCAATTGTCACCAATTTAATATGTTTGCCATCTCATGTGAACAAAAAGGCAGACAAATATTGAGAGAAAAGTGGGCTTTGATTTTGGTTGATGAAAATGAATCATGGCAGTCAATTTATAGGTAGATTTTGTGACTTGGTTGCATTACATAACAATCTAGAAGCTTCTTTATGCACAAGCAACACTTTAACAAATTAATTTTCAAACTCAAAAGTCCATTTAGCCTTTTTGTATAAACCTAACCTCATTTCCTTTTATACAAACGAGATATTTGTTTGCTTAGTTCCCGTCTTCTTATATTATATAGAAATTGACCTCACAAAAAGAAAATGAAGTCTTTGTGAAATTGATGTATATACATATATATATATATTCATTACACATAATAAC